ACAGGCCCCCACTGGTTCGAAGTAAACAGCCCCCACGTGGATGCTAAGTAACAGGCCCCCACTGTATTCTAGGTAACAGTCCACCCACTGTAATTCCAAGGTAACGAGCCCCCACTGGATTCGTAAGTAAAAAGGCCCCCACTGGATTCTAAGGGTACAGGCCACCCCAATAGATTATAGGTCAACAGGCCCCACGTATCAAAGGTAAACAGCCCCCACTGTTCGAGGTAACTGCCCACTGATTCATAGGTAAACAGCCCCACTGTATTCTAAGGTAACAGGCCCCCACTGTATTCTAAGGTAACAGGCCCCCACTGTATTCTAAGGTAACAGGCCCCCACTGTATTCTAAGGTAACAGCCCCCACTGTATTCTAAGGTAACAGGCCCACTGTATTCTAAGGTAACAGGCCCACTGGTTTCTAAGGGACAGGCCCCCACTGGTGCTAAGGTAAGGCCCCCACTGGGATTCTAAGGTAACAGGTCCAAACTGTATTCTAAGGTAACAGGCCCACTGGATTCTAAGGCAACAGGCCCCCACTGGATTCTAAGGTTTTAAAAGGCTCTGATTTTGGCATCTATAGAAAGCCTGTCCAATTCTACACAACAGACCGCTCCCCTTAGGAACAGACCACAACAGACCGCTCCCCTTAGGAACAGACCACAACAGACCGCTCCCGCTATCAGGAACAGACCGACAACAGACCGCTCCCATTAGAACAGACCGACAGACCGCTATCCCCTTAGGAACACACAGACCCAGAACAGACCGCCCCCTTAGAACAGACCAGACAACCGCTACCCCTCCCCTTAGGACACCAGACCAAGACCGCTTCCCTTAGAAAACCGAACCAAACAAAACAGACAGCTCCCCTTAGGACAGACCAGAACAGACCGCTCCCCTTAGGAACAGACCAGAACAGACCGCTCCCTTAGGAAAAGACGCAGACTAGTACTGTATTCATTAACCAACTAGATACTGTAATCTGAAACCAACTAGATTACGGGTATTCTAACCAGGACTAGATCTGTTACTTAACATCCAGACTAGAGATTGTATACTTAACATCCGACTACATACTGTATTCTTAAACCAGACTAGATACTGTAATCTTAAACCAGACTAGATACTGTATTCTTAAACCAGACTAGATACTGTATACTTAACATCCAGACTAGAGATTGTATACTTAACATCCAGACTAGATATTGTATACTTAACATCCAGACTAGATATTGTATATTTAACACCCAGACTAGATACTGTATACTTAACATCCATACCAGATACTATGTAGATATGTTTTCAGAATGCATATTGATTGTTGAAAGATCTAATCAATACAAAATGAAACAGCAGAGATTCATTTTCACATATATTACTTATAGGGTGTACTAATGCAGACAGAGGCAAGATGCTTAACCAAATGTCATATTGTAACAACATATATTATGGACCAATGTTAAATGTCATATTTTAACAACATATATTATGGACCAATGTTAAATCTCATATTGTAAAAACATTTATTATGGACCAATGTTAAATCTCATATTGTAAAAACATTTATTATGGACCAATGTTAAATGTCATATTGTAACAAAATACAGATGTAGGATCTTAATTTGATTGCCCTGTTGCAGAGAAATGTTAAACTAGTGCTGTATTTGAGGTTTAAAAAGGCTTCTAAAGTTTGTAATTTCCACTTTGAAATTTCAGGCTTGATTTTCCCTTACGAAAACTGTATCAACCCCTACAAAAATGTCCATTAATTATAATCCACATAATAATTCACATTTCCTGTTGCTGTCAGGATTATTTTCCTGCTATAGGAAACTGGCTCAAATGAAGATCCTCCATCTGTATCACTGTACTTTTACTGTCATGTTCTACAGTCATCCCATAACTTCCTCAATGTTGACGTGTCATTCCTTATTCAGCTTATAGTATTCATCCTTTATTCCTAGCTTGCCATTAAAAACCTTCCATTTTTGAGAATGAATTCAATTTTACGACTGGTCGGACTGCTCAGTGCAACATCCCATCCTCAACCTGACTGGTCGGACTGCTCAGTGCAACATCCCATCCTCAACCTGACTGGTCGGACTGCTCAGTGCAACATCCCATCCTCAACCTGACTGGTCGGACTGCTCAGTGCAACATCCCATCCTCAACCTGACTGGTCGGACTGCTCAGTGCAACATCTCATCCTCAACCTGACTGGTCGGACTGCTCAGTGCAACATCCTCAACCTGACTGGTCGGACTGCTCAGTGCAACATCTCATCCTCAACCTGACTGGTCGGACTGCTCAGTGCAACATCCCATCCTCACCTGATGGTCGGACTGCTCAGTGCAACATCCCTCATACCTGACTGGTCGGACTGCTCAGTGTCAACATCCCATCCTCAACTGACCTGAGGTCGGGACTGCTCAGTTGCAAACATCCCATCCTCAACCTGACTGGTCGGACTGCTCAGTGCAACATCACATCCTCAACCTGACTGGTCGGACTGCTCAGTGAAACATCCCATCCTCAACCTGTGCTGTGGCCTAATGGCTTTGCAAAATAATTTAAAGAAACACTGACACTAAATAAACCCAAAACCCAAACTTCAATCAATGTTGGTGTAGAACAAAGACATCCTAGGGGGGTAATAAAAAGCGTTCAACATGGTGGTTGTGGTCATTTGTCCTATCTATTCGGGCCCAGTCAGTTTGGGAGGCCTAACACAGAGCCACTCCACTGGTCTAGCAAAACCAGGGTTAAAATAGCATCTGTTTTCTGGGCAATACTTCATTGCTTCTTCCTTCCCATTCTTCTCTTCTGGCTATTCTTTCGTCTTCTTCTTCTTCTTCGTCTTATTCTTCTCTTCTCTTCTTTTCGGTGTTCTATCTCTCAACCTTGCTTCATCCTTCAGTTCACTTTCTTCTCTCTCTCTACCAGGGAAGCAGATAGTGCAACACACCTCAACTCCGACAGATCCTCCAACAGGTCTGAGATTCAGAAACAGTCCATCCAGTAATCCCAGCAATCCAACTGGGCAGAGCAGGCCTCCCCCGCAGCCGAACGGCCTGCCGGCAGCCCCCTCCTCAACGAGGCACATGCACCTCACGTCTCACAGCCAGACACTGGGCACACCGAACCAGGAAGCACCTCAACAGACAGGACATGCCATGAACACAGTTACAACAGTCTGGGGTGGGGTGAAAAACGTACAACCTTAGTCATATGATTCTAATAGAGGAACGGATTTTTGTGTTGTTTTCCCTCCTGTGTTTTCTTCTTACACGCTGACGGCTTCCCTGCCTCTTGACCAACCCCTCCATCCTAAAGATGGTTTCAGAACCGTTAAGTCAAGAAAAAGACAAAAACCAGGACGGAGGGTACAGTAATAATGGGACATACTACATAAGATATTTAAGGCAAGAAACGGAGGGTTAACACCTAATAATTTTCTACTAAATACAGTATTTTAGCGCCAGGACGAGGGTTAACACCTATAATTACATCTAAATACATTTATATTTAGGCCAGGAACGGAGGATAACACCAATAATGTACAGACTAAATACAGTCTATTACGGCCAGGACGGAGGGTTAACACCTAATAGGTTACATACAAATACATACATTTAAGGCCAGGACGGAGGTTAACCACCTAATAATGGGACAATACAAATACAGATAAAGGCCAGGACACAGGGTTAACACACTAATATGTACATAAAAACATTTAAGCCAGGAGGAGGGTTCACCTAATAATGTTAATATAAATACAGTATATTTTAAGGCCAGACGGAGGGTTTAACACCTGATATGTTCCTGGACTAATGACAGGCCTCCCTTAAGGGGCCAGGACGGAGGGTTAACACCTATAAGGTTACATACTAAAAACAGTATATTTAAGGCCAGGACGGAGGGTTAACACCTAATAATGTTACATACTAAATACAGTATATTTAAGGCCAGGACGGAGGGTTAACACCTAATAATGTTACATACTAAATACAGTATATTTAAGGCCAGGACGGAGGGTTAACACCTAATAATGTTACATACTAAATACAGTATATTTAAGGCCAGGACGGAGGGTTAACACCTAATAATGTTACATACTAAATACAGTATATTTCCAGCCAGGGAGGGAGAGGTGAGGAGTGACAGCAGGTTAACCCTTAGCCATATGTACAACTCCTTAGAGGCATATCAATCAATTAATGTATCAATCAATTACATTTCATTTATATAGCTAGTTTAATAAAAACAAAGCCTCATTTTATATCATCGAACAACAAAAAACTGCCCACAAAACACATTGTTTTCTTTTTAGCCGTTTGCTGACTATTGTGCAACGTCACCAAGAAAACAGGCCAACATTTCCCCAATTGGTTATCAGGTGACTGTCTGATGATGAGGGTTCACACAGCAGAACTGGACTGATAAAAGCTGTCAGAGAGAGAATGTGGCTTCAAGATAAGACCAGCTCCTAGTGATGGGGGACATGCCTCAACGTGTGCTCTGGTGATCTGTTCACACCGCCCCAGAAAGGAACCTGTTTCATTAGAGTTCAAATCAATGATTCTGCCAGCTAAGACCAATGAAGCCGGCTTCTTTTCTGTCATAGTTATTGTTACTCGAGCAGTGTAGAATGGACCCTAACAGCAGTGTAGAATGGACCCTAACAGCAGTGTAGAATGGACCCTAACAGCAGTGTAGAATGGACCCTAACAGCAGTGTAGAATGGACCCTAACAGCAGTGTAGAATGGACCCTAACAGCAGAGAGAAATATTCCTAGAACTCAAGTCAACAATATTGGAAGTCGTTATTCCACTGTAGTTTTTACACAGTTCTACCCATCTTTTCTGTCCACTTTTGTATAATCAAACATGTAACGAAGCTGCAACAGATATATATTAAACTGTATAATGGGAAAAATTTAATTTGTTTGATATCTACCAAAATTCCAGCTCATTCCTTTATCTGGGTGGCGTCAGCTTTCAATGAGTTCTGGCTCTTGGTGGTGGATGGTAGGTGTTGTTTTTTATCAGGGTGTCCATGGTGCCTGTTACAGGCAGGGGGCTGAGCGGGCTGAGGAGGGCTCCATCCTCTCTGGTTAATGGAGGCAGGGGGCTGAGGAGGCTGAGGAGGGCTCCATCCTCTCTGGTTAATAGAGGCGGACGAGGGGTGCAGACAGGGGAGGGAGAGGCTCCGTTGGTCAGGGTCTTGGGGGACGTTTTCGGACTGGACGACAGAGGGACCCTGGTGGGAGGCTCTACTGTGGGAGTGAGAAGTGAATCAATCAATCAACCACCCAAGCAGCAACCACAAGCACAAACCACCAATCAAGCAACCACCCAATCAATCAACCACCAATCAATCAACCACCCAATCAATCGACCACCTAATCAATCAACCACCCAATCAATCAACCACCCAATCAATCAACCACCCAATCAATCAACCACCCAATCAATCAACCACCCAATCAATCAACCACCCAATCAAATCAACCACCCAATCAATCAAAAAACACCCAAGAAATCAACACCAATGCAACAAACGAAACTCAATCAACCCCTAATTTAATCACCACCCAATCAAGCAACCATCAATCAACCACCAAACAATCAACCACCCAATCATCAACACCCAACCAACAAGCACCCCGTCAATAAACCCAATCAATCAAACCACCCAATTCAACCCCCCCCAATCAATCAACCACCCGAGGTCAATCAACCCCCATCAATCAAACACCAACAAACCACCCAAACCATCAATCAACCACCCAATCAGATCACCCTAACAATCAATCAAACCCCCCAATTTAATACCCACCCAATCAATCAACCACCCTTATACAGCTCTGAACATTTATAATAAAGTGAAAAAAGGAGAAGCTGTGAACTAACGTTTTGAAGTGTTAAATGAGATGACGTTATTATCAGTAGCCTTACCTTTCTGTAGTTGGTACGGGTTTGTTGGTACCCTGTTTGGTAGGAGGTGTGACGCGTCGTCGGTTGTGCTGAGATCTGTCATAGAGTCATCGCTATCTTCATCATCAGCTCTGTCAGACCTTACAGAGGCCCCTGGGAGCTCTGCTGAACCGTGATCAACACAACAACACTTACAGAGGGCCCTGGGAGCTCTGCTGAACCGTGATCAACACAACAACACTTACAGAGGGTCCTGGGAGCTCTGCTGAACCGTGATCAACACAACAACACTTACAGAGGGCCCTGGGAGCTCTGCTGAACCGTCATCAACACAACAACACTTACAGAGGGCCCTGGGAGCTCTGCTGAACCGTGATCAACACAACAACACTTACAGAGGGCCCTGGGAGCTCTGCTGAACCGTGATCAACACAACAACACTTACAGAGGGCCCTGGGAGCTCTGCTGAACCGTGATCAACACAACAACACTTACAGAGGGCCCTGGGAGCTCTGCTGAACCGTGATCAACACAACAACACTTACAGAGGGCCCTGGGAGCTCTGCTGAACCGTGATCAACACAACAACACTTACAGAGGGCCCTGGGAGCTCTGCTGAACCGTGATCAACACAACAACACTTACAGAGGGCCCTGGGAGCTCTGCTGAACCGTGATCAACACAACAACACTTACAGAGGGCCCTGGGAGCTCTGCTGAACCGTGATCTACACAACAACACTTACAGAGGGCCCTGGGAGCTCTGCTGAACCGTGATCAACACAACAACACTTACAGAGGGCCCTGGGAGCTCTGCTGAACCGTGATCAACACAACAACACTTACAGAGGGCCCTGGGAGCTCTGCTGAACCGTGATCAACACAACAACACTTACAGAGGGCCCTGGGAGCTCTGCTGAACCGTGATCAACACAACAACACTTACAGAGGGCCCTGGGAGCTCTGCTGAACCGTGATCAACACAACAAACAATTACAGAGGGCCCTGGGAGCTCTGCTTGAACCGTGATCAACACAACAACACTTACAGAGGGCCCTGGGAGCTCTGCTGAACCGTGATCTACACAACAACACTTACAGAGGGCCCTGGGAGCTCTGCTGAACCGTGATCAACACAACAACACTTACAGAGGGCCCTGTGAGCTCTGCTGAACCGTGATCAACACAACAACACTTACAGAGGGCCCTGGGAGCTTGTAAATACGTGTTAAATCCCTATAAAAAATAAAAGCATTATCTCAATGAAACAACAACAAGAGACGTCTATAGCAGGATACTGTGATGGTCCCACGCCTGTAGTTTCAAGTTGTATTAGTCGTATGTACAGGATACACATGGTATTCACCTTTGTCCAATGTAACCTCACCTGTATCCACTATAACCTCACCTGTATCCACTATAACCTCACATGTAACCACTATAACCTCACCTGTATCCACTATAACCTCACATGTATCACTATAACATCACCTGTATCCACTATAACCTCACCTGTATTCACTATAACTCACCTGTATTCACTATACTCAAGTATCATATACCCACGATCACTATATCACCTGTATTCTATAATCTGTATCACTATAGCTACAGTAACACTATAACTCACCTTTCCACTATAACCTCACCTGTATTCACTATAACCTCACCTGTATCCACTATAACCTCACCTGTATTCACTATAACCTCACCTGTATCCACTATAACCTCACATGTATCCACTATAACTCACCTGTATTCACTATAACCTCACCTGTATCCACTATAGCCTCACTGTATTCACTATAACCTCACCTGTATCCACTATAACCTCACCTGTATTCACTATAACCTCACCTGTATCACTATAACCTCACATGTATTCACTATAACCTCACCTGTATCCACTATAACCTCACCTGTGTGTTCCTCAGCTGTCCCGTTAAACAGTGGCTGTTGGGTAATAACATTGGGTGGTGGTAGTGGCTGTGGCTGTGGCTGTGGCTGGGTGGTCTGGTACTCTGGGAGGTCCAGGGGGCACTTGGCCACCTCCTGTCCCTTGACCGTGTCCTGGCTGATGACTGTCTCTCCTGTTCTCCCCTGCGGTAGCAGCTCCATACTGCCAGTCTCCTCTGAACACAACACAGGGGGACGAAGAGATTAAGGCTGGGATTCAATCCCGATCAGCGGTAGATACGCGTTATATCGCTCTTGACATTTAAAGCTCATTTTCGATTGACCTGACATACGCAACGTTTACCATAAAAGTGGTCTCTGCGAATGCCAAAAAAAAAAACATGGCTTATAAAAGGCGCATAGCCGACAAAAAGCGCGATCGGATTAAATCCCGGCCTAAACTAAATATTATGAAATTAATTGAACAGATAGAGAAACAATTTCAGATGTGAGAAGTTAATTACACAGAAGTTTAAAATACTTGTTCCATGAGCAAAACACCCTCGTTTGGATGGTTAACTGAGTGGACGCAGAGTACTGTCTGTGGCTCAGCTGGTAGAGCACGGCGCTCGTAACGCCAAGGTCGTGTGTTCGATCCCCGGGACCACCCCATACACAAAAAAAAATGTATGCACGCATGACTGTAAGTCGCTTTGGATAAAAGCGTCTGCTAAATGGCATATTATTAAAACTAGGTCATTTGACATAGTTAAGGTTCAAGGCACATGTCTAAGTAGTAAATGGTCAAATACATTTTATAGGAGTGAACTGAAATGAGTGTTTCTGTGTGTGTGTTTAAAGAAAGTGATTTCACATTTTCTATTTGTCATATGCAATGTCTTCCCTACTTTTGAATGTTCACTTAGCCTATTTATAACTTACGTTGTCTTCTCCACGTCTGACGTTTCATGATTAATCTTTATGATTACCAACAACATTGGTTAGTTGACACCAAATCAAAATGTAGACTAACTTTAGTTTATTATTCATATTATTCATTGCCTACAAGTCTTTCTTGAATAGGCTACTAAAATTAAACTTTACTGACGTTAAACTGAACTTTTACTAACCAGTTAACAGATGTCATAATTCATGAAAATGCACAAATTAAGTATTCTAGGGCTATCATTTATTACATCATTATAGTCTAGTCTTTATGAATTAGGGCCAATTGGTAAGCTGCTATGAGAAACAAATTAATCTTCAAAATAAAACCAAGCCCACAGCAGTAAGAAACTATCCCAAACAAAAACCGTTAATTGTACACTATTAGTATGCTTACCTGAACTTGATGCCAGTCTTAGACCACGGGTGAAACAATGCAGAAAACATTTGTTTGTAACTATCGGATAAACTTGACATTCCGCGACATTCTGTCCGTAATTTGCTAGTCTCATGCGTTGGTCTCAAAAGCGAGCAGTGACTGCACCGACAGATGCGCGTTAACGGATGAGCGGCGCAATAGTTTGAGTCCGAGACGGGGACGGGGTCGAGCGTCATCAAGACAGACCACCTCCGCTTCCTGTCCCACAGTAAGAAACTCCGCCTACTGAAAGCAGGTCTACTGAAGCCACATTGAATAATAATAACAGTCAATGTGTTTAAATCATTAGAGGTAACTAGGGATTTGTCTGTCTAGTCAGCTGTTGAATATTTGACTCGCTTGGCATTTTGATTAGGTCTAACCTATATTTCCTAAAACTTTGACCAGAACTTCTAATCTGTAGCTCAGCTGGTAGAGCATGGCGCTTGTAACGCCAGGGTAGTGGGTTCGATCCCCGGGACCACCCATACGTAAAAATGTATGCGCACATGACTGTAATTCGCTTTGGATAAAAGCGTCTGCTAAATGGAATATTATTACATAAAAAATCTTTCTTCTTATCATGACTACATATATCTGTGTGTCACAATTTTACATTTATATCATTTAGCAGACGCTCTTGTCCAGAGCGACTTACAAATTGGTGCATTCAACTTATGATAGCCAGTGGGACAACCACTTTTATTATTTTTATTTTTATGGGGGTGTTGGGGGAGGGGGCGGTAGAAGGATTACTTTATACTATTCCAGGTATTCCTGTGTGTTATGTTGGCAGTTTGACCGTTATTAGGCCTTTTTCTAGTTTAGATAGGCTACTGAATATCTAATTAAATAAGACAAAACTCATTCAGCTACATTTGTCTTTTCTTATGATTGTTTTTTAACATGTTGCCAGCCTATTCCCCCCAAAAATGCATCAGTGCCGGTCAGGTGTCAAGTCTCTTATGCAATCCTGCCACCTAGTGGAAACTATCTGGTATTACAGGCTATTGCCATTAGTATCAACTTATAGAAGTCTAAGAGAAAAGGAGGCGGTGATAGTAGTGACGTCTCCTTCACGCCAGACAGAGCCGGAGACCGACTGATCAGCCCTAGTCAGACAGGCAGGCAGACATTTTAAATGTTATACTACATTTATAAAACCCGTAAAAGTCTGAGCCATTGGGGGTGGGGGGGTGGGGGGGGGGGGTTGGAATTTGTTAAGATGGTCATATCAAGGATCATTTAGCTATTTGATTTGGAATTTTAGGACCCCTTTAGGTATATAAAAAAAAAATATAATAAAAATAATTTCATAAAATAATGAATTTGGCCTTTACTATTGTAGCCCATAGAAATGCATTGAACAACAAACACATTCATAAATGGCAAAACAGACAGTCAAAAAATGAATCATAAGGAGTAAGGTTTTGAAGTGTCTGTCCTTTATCTAGGAGATGTAAGAAAGGAAATATACAGTTTACAGGCAGATTATTTCACTTATAATTCACTGTATCACAATTCCAGTGGGTCAGAAGTTTACATACACTAAGTTGACTGTGCCTTTAAACAGCTTGGAAGATTCCAGAAAATGATATCATGGCTTTAGAAGCTTCTGATAGGCTAATTGACATCATTTGAGTCAATTGGAGGTGTACCTGTGGATGTATTTCAAGGCCTACCTTCAAACTTGCTTGACATCATGGGAAAATCAAAAGAAATCAGACCTCCACAAGTCTGGTTCATCATCGGGAGCAATTTCCAAACGCCTGAAGGTACCACGTTCATCTGTACAAACAATAGTACGCAAGTATAAACACCATGGGACCACGCAGCCGTCATACCGCTCAGGAAGGAGACACGTTCTGTCTCCTAGAGATTAACGTACTTTGGTGCGAAAAGTGCAAATCAATCCCAAAACAACAGCAAAGGACCTTGTGAAGATGCTGGAGGAAACAGGTAAAAAGTATCAATATCCACAGTAAAACGTGTCCTATATCGACATAACCTGAAAGGCCGCTCAGCAAGGAAGAATCCACTGCTCCAAAACCGCCATAAAAAAGCCAGACAACGTTTTGCAACTGCACATGGGGACAAAGATTGTACTTTTTGGAGAAATGTCCTCTGGTCTGATGAAACACAAATAGAACTGTTTGGCCATAATGACCATCGTTATGTTTGGAGGAAAAAGGGGAAGGCTTGCAAGCCGAAGAACACCATCCCAACCGTGAAGCACGGGGGTGGCAGCATCATGCTGTGGGGGTGCTTTGCTGCAGGAGGGACTGGTGCACTTCACAAAATAGATGGCATCATGAGGAAGGAAATGTATGTGGATATATTGAAGCAACATCTCAAGACATCAGTCAGGAAGTTAAAGTTTAGTCGCAAATGGGTCTTCCAAATGGACAATGACCCCAAGCATACTTCCAAAGGTGTGGCAAAATGGCTTAAGGACAACAAAGTCAAGGTATTGGAGTGGCCATCACAAAGCCCTGACCTCAATCCTATAGAAAATGTGTGGGTAGAACAGAAAAAGCGTGTGCGAGCAAGGAGGCCTACAAACCTGACTCAGTTACACCAGCTCTGTCAGGAGGAATGGGCCAAAATTCACCCAACTTATGTGTGGGAAGCTTGTGGAAGGCTACCCGAAACATTTGACCCAAGTTAAACAATTTAAAGGCAATGCTACCAAATACTAATTGAGTGTATGTAAACTTGTGATGACAGATATAAAAGCTTAAATAAATCATTCTCTCTACTATTATTCTGACATTTCATATTCTTAAAATAAAGTGGTGATCCTAACTGACCTAAGACAGGGAATTTTTACTAGGATTAAATGTCAGGAATTGTGAAAAACTGAGTTTAAATGTATTTGGCTAAGGTGTATGTAAACTTCCGACTTCAACTGTACATATTTAACCCCTTATTTTTGTCGGCACAAAACGACCTCCATACTTCCATTCATTTGTATGGGTTACCTTCAGACGTGTCCCGTGACACTTGTGGGGGTCGCAGAGCAAAACGGAGACCATTGTGTCGGTGAGAGTCTCTCCTTTCCATAGTGGGGTGTGTAGCCCAAACGGTTCGGACGTTACAGACAGAAGTTGGCACATCGACGGTACCGACTTCAGACGAGTCCCGTGGTGCCATCTAGTGCCATCTATCCAAGGCTGAGGTGTCACCTTGGTTCACGTTTTGGGTGGTGGGCTCATCAAGCCTCAACCGAGCCAAGGTGGAGTCGGTGCTGTCCAGTCCACCCCCGACTACCAAGAAGAAGGTGAGGTCCTTTCTGGGCTTGGTGGGGTGGTACCGGCGGTTCATTCCCAACTTCTCAGGCCGTGCTGCTGTGCTCACTGGGCCAACCAGGAAGTCAAGCCCACAGAAGGTGAAATGTGTCCCAGAGTGCAGAGCAGCCTTTGAGGATCTAAAAACAGTGCATGTGCCAGGAGCCAGTGTTGCAGAGTCCTGCCTTTCACCGTTCAGACCGATGCCTCCGGGGGGTTGGTCTGGGTGCTGTGTTACTGTGAGCAGAAGACCCACGCAGCCGGAAGTTATATCAGCCGGAAGACAGACAAGGTATCCAACGATCTAAAAGGTGTAGAGGGGAAAAGGAAAATGGAAACATAATATATTATTTATTATTTGTTATGATGAAAATTAAAGAAAATATAGTTTTGTTCCTGTTAGAGGAAGGGAAGAGAGGAGCCGATTATCAGTTGTCTGTTCCTGTTAGAGGAAGGGAAGAGAGGAGCTGTCACGATCGTCATAATGATTGGACCAAGGCGCAGCGTGATATGCGTACATCTCTTTAATAGTGTACTAGCAACACGATACAAAACGAAACATGAAGTCCTCG